TGAAATTGACAAACTAATTATCAGTTTTGAATTTTATGAAATTAAATACATTGATATGATGTGTTCCTATAGTTAAATAAATATGATTCATTTAGTTTGATATGCCTTTGTGCACCATTATTCTTCACATTTAAGTAAACTGTTTAATTACAACATTTTTCACATGAATGGAATTTGTATATATATTCAATGTATGTAATTTAAGAATCATAATTTCACGAGATTAAAAGTTGAATCCAATCATAAAAAAATTATGTTTATATTCGATGGTTTATTAAGTTTGATTTGATTACCTGGTAAATTAACTGTAACAATTAATTTTAAGATTTATAGAATATTTGGGAGTACAAAGATATACACTTCATTTATTAATTTATACTTCTCTGTTGTTGTTTTTTAATAAAAATAAAGAATAATAATAATAACGAATATTGAATATCACATTAAGCTTGTTAATCATGGTAACGCCAAAAGCCTAAAAATTGCATTTGTATCTTAAGAATGTCATCTCCAAGAAGGAAAGCAAAGAATAAAAGGCAGCCTCTCCAATACCCATGCCAATGCCAATGCCAATGCCAATGCCAATGCCAATGCCAATGCCAATGCCATTACCGTTACCATTACCAATGATATTTCAGTAAAACAAAGAAAGAAAGTTACCTGCTTGAAGTTCCTTACCTCCTCCTCTTAATAACTTCCCACCATTGCAATTCCTTTCTTGCTTTCAATCTTTCAAACCTCTTAAATGTTCTTGTCTTCCATCACTACCCTTATTTCTATTTCAGCATTACGTCTCCCTCACTCTTCATAAAATATAATATTTCTTAATCTCCATGATTGAACGTATATGTATCTCATATCACAACCCATAAGAAACGCAATTAGAAACAAAGCCGTGTGATCGTGTTGGAAGAAATGGCCATTGCAACAGCCAGCTTGATGAGATTAGATACACCAATTTCCGACAGTTTAAACACTGCGTTGAGGAAATCCCATAACCCAATGAAGAAATGCTTCGCCAGGTACACACTTCCTCTTCCAATCAAAAAAGCTGGAGTCTTTTTGAGGTATGAACATAACCCATCTGAGTTAATAGGTTTGTTGAGAATGGGAAGAGGCTGATGAAATCCCCAGATTTGATGAAGGATTTGGAGATTACAATTGAAGACAAGCGTGAGAGGAGCCAAGTTTTGGAAGGCTTTCTTGGCTACATTCTAAGCAACACTCGGGTAATACTCAAACTCTTTCTGCTTTGAAGGAGGATGGATTTTGATGGCTTATAATATGCAGGAGGCTGCTGTTGTCCCTCCCAACGTCGCGCTAGCCGTGAGGCCGAGCCCCGGTTTCTGGGAGTTTGTAAAGGTGAATGCTACAAGTTTGAGAGTAGGAGACCTCACAGCTTCTGAATACTTGAAATTCAAGGAAGCCATCTTTGATGAGAACTGGTGTGTCCACAAATACTTCTGGTTTCCCTTTATGTAGTCATCTTTGGATTGATGAATGAAAAAGTTGTGAAAATCATTGGTTTGAACTTTGATGTGCAGGGCAAATGATGAACATGCTGTAGAGATAGATTTTGGAGCCATTGAATTCAGCGCCCCTCGCTTGAGCATTCCCTCGTCAATTGGAAACGGAGTCAATTTCATCTCAAAGTTCATCAGTTCAAGGTTTAGTGAGGATAAACAGAATGTTAAGCAACTTGTTGATTATCTTCTGGGCCTTCACCATCGAGGACAGGTATCAAAATATGAACATTCCATTGCAGAAAGCTGAAGATTTTAAGAAAAACAATGAATGACAACATTTGGATTCAAATCTTGCAGAGTCTTATGATCAATAAGAAACTTAATACGGCTTCCAAGCTTCAATCTGCATTGTTTGTAGCTCAAGTATATCTTTCTTCACTGCCAAAAGACACCCCATATGAAGAATTTAAGCGCAAGTAACCAACAATTCTCTGTCCTTTTCCATTTGATTTCCTATTTTTCTTAAGTTTTTAATTGTATTGTTATCATTAATGCTTAAAGGATGAAGGGGTGGGGATTTGAGAAGGGATGGGGAAGTACTTCAGAGAGAGTCAGAGAAACAATGTTAATCCTCTCTGAGATCCTCCAAGCACCAGATCCACTAAAATTGGAGTTACTGTTTAGCAAGCTTCCAACCACATTGAATGTCGTAATATTTTCGCCACACGGCTATTTCGGCCAGGAAGGCGTCCTCGGCATGCCTGACACTGGCGGTCAGGTTAGAATATGAGTATCTGTTTGTATTGCAGCCTTACAATGTTGTGTTCCTGTGGACTTGTATATCACTCACCTGCTACAAAAATGACTAGATTGTGTACATTCTTGATCAAGTGAGAGCTTTGGAAGAAGAGCTGCTGCATAGAATTGAGCAGCAAGGCCTGCAAGCAAAGCCTCAGATTCTTGTGGTATGTTCGTTTGTAGGCGCATAAGATCACACCAACATTGTCCTTGTGTTTTAATATGTATTCCAATTAGGTAACAAGATTGATACCTGATGCTCGAGGAACCAAGTGCAATGTGGAGTTAGAGCCTATTGAAAACACAAAGCATTCTAACATTCTCAGGGTCCCATTCTACACACAAAATGGAGTCCTTCGCCAATGGGTTTCACGTTTTGATGTGTATCCATACTTGGAGAGATTTGTGAAGGCATTTTACTTCAAAACTCTTTCATTTTCCCCCAACCAGTTTCTTCATCTTCTACTAACTTTGTATTTATAGGATGCCACTGGTAAGATCCTTGAAGTCATGGGCTGCAAACCTGACCTCATCATTGGCAACTACACTGATGGCAACCTGGTTGCTTCTTTGATGGCTAAGAAACTTGGAATTACACAGGTCCGAAGACAAAATCTTGGGAAAAATCCGCCATGTTTGGTTGTTTTTTTAGTTTCATGATCTCTGAATTCTTGAGTTTTTATTTTGACATCCCAGGGAGCTATAGCACACGCTTTAGAGAAATCAAAATACGAGGATTCTGATGCTAAATGGAAGGAGCTTGATCCCAAGTATCATTTCTCGTGTCAATTCACAGCTGATATGATCTCAATGAATGCAGCTGATTTCATTATAACAAGTACATATCAAGAAATTTCAGGAAGGTTAGCAGATTCTTATCATATAGTAATGAACTCAGCTGGATTATGTCATCTTTGAGTAGCTAAGTAAAAGGTTTTATCCAACAGCGAAAGCAGGCCAGGACAATATGAAAGCCATGAGGCCTTTACTATGCCTGGACTTTATAGGGTTGTCTCAGGTATTAGTGTGTTTGACCCCAAATTCAACATTGCTGCTCCTGGGGCTGATCAATCTGTCTACTTTCCTTTCACTGAGAAATCGAAACGGCTGACGAATTTTCATCCCGAAATCGAGGAACTACTTTATAGCAGAGAGAACAATGATGAACACATGTAACAATGATGAACTCATTCTCTTTTGGTTTGAACAGTGACAGAAAATTATCAGTGCAGTTCTAACTTTTGATCTTGTAAATTTCTGGAACAGTGGTTACCTTGCTGATAAGAAGAAGCCAATAATCTTCTCCATGGCAAGGCTTGATACGGTGAAAAACATTACTGGTTTAACTGAATGGTTTGGCAAGAACAGGAGGCTGAGAAGTTTAGTAAACCTTGTGGTGGTAGCAGGATTCTTTGATCCATCAAAATCAAAGGACAGGGAAGAAATTGCTGAGATAAAAAAGATGCATTCCCTGATAGAGAAATACAAACTCAGGGGGCAAATCAGATGGATAGCGGCTCAAACCGATCGGTGTCGCAACGGAGAGCTATACCGGTGCATTGCTGATACTAAAGGAGCTTTTGTGCAGCCTGCACTTTATGAAGGTTTTGGCCTAACAGTCATTGAGGCAATGAACTGTGGATTGCCTACTTTTGCAACAAATCAAGGAGGCCCAGCAGAGATTATTGTCGACGGGGTCTCGGGATTTCACATCGATCCGAACAATGGAGGCGAATCGAGTAAAAAGATCGTCGCTTTCTTTGAGAAATGCAAGTCAGATGGTGGATATTGGAATAAGATTTCAGAAGCTGGTCTTCAGCGAATATATGAAAGGTAAAAACAAGACGCAGACATCATTTCCAACAAATTGGGAACGTTGATGATATTCAGTTACTGAGTATGGTTTTGCAGCTACACTTGGAACATATATGCAAAGAAGGCTCTGAACATGGGATCAGTTTACGGATTTTGGAGGGAGATAAACAAAGACAAAAAACAAGCCAAGATGAGATACATTGAAATGCTTTACTCTCTCTTGTTTAGGAAACTGGTTAGCATTCTATCTCTTCAACAGACATTGATGACTAAGCTTTTCAGCTTTTTTGATCACTCTAAATCCTATTACAGGTGAAGAACATTCCAATCCCTACTGAAGAACCCTTGCCAGCTCCAGCCGCCACGCCCACGTCGCAGCAGCCGACACCGGAGCTCCGATCTCGGAGACCGGCTGCCACTCAACCTGAGGCAGGACCAAGGCAAAATCATCCACTCTTGATCAACATTCTTAATTTTGCATTAACCTTAATAATTAAAAAAAAGAGTTGTTTTAATTTTGCAGGAGTGAAGATAGGGGCTCAGTGCAGCAGGGGCAGAGTGGCTATGGGCTATCAAACACCATAAATAAGATGTGCCTTTTGGCTGCCTCTCTCTTGGTTGCTTACTTCGTGCTAAAGAGGATTTGTGGAGTAGATCAAGCATCATATGATGATTTACCATTTTAGCCTTTTGATATTTCAACTTTATTTATGTAAATTTATTATAATAATTAAAACAACAATTTGTGATTCTCTTAATAAATTATTTATGTATTTTTTTGAATATCATATTCAAATAAAGGAATGTGTGAAAAAAATGGGTTTTAGTTGAACAAAGAATTGTATACGAGGGTAAAGGGTTTTAAAATTAAATTAAAAATAAATAAATAAAGGAATTTCGAAGTGAGTATAAAGATGAGCAGAAGATTACCCAAACATGGATCTCATTGGCATCTCTGCGAGCATCTAGCAACCGGAAAGTCTGCTACGATGTCGGATCCATATTCAGGGGCCAAAGGAGGTAGGCTCACCTTCAAGGGAGGAGTCTTAGCCTCCCGCAGTAAGGATATTGACAAGAAGAAGAAGAAGAAGAAGGAGAAGAAAGACAAAAGTAAAAGCGAGGAGAACCCCACGGACGAGGCCGAGATTTTGTCGTCGGCTGACGGTGTAGAGGGTGAAGAGGGAGTGGTGTATACTATTGATGCGGCCAAGCGTATGAAGTATGAGGAGCTCTTCCCGGTGGAGACCAGGAGGTTCGGTTACGACCCTAACAACGCCGATACCAAGTTCAAGTCTGTGGAGGAAGCTCTTGATGACCGTGTTAAAAAGAAGGCGGATCGTTATTGTAAATAATCAGGTCACTGCTCTCGCTAGTCTGCTTTAATTTGTCTCTGCATTCGTCCTCGCAACTCCATAGATGCAATTTGTATTTCGCGCCTGAATTTGATGGATATTTTAGTCAGGATTCCCAGTTAGATTTCGCAATATCTTCAAACATATTAGGTTAAGATCGTACGAATTAGGTTAGGCGTTGGTTTCTAACGAAAGGAATGTTTGTCCAATGTCCCTTATACTCGGAGAAAGTCTAAATTTAGTTAGGGAAGTCTCTTCCTTCTTTTCTTTCTACTCTGCTTTACCTCTTTTAAGAATCCCTTGAATAAATATGCGTAGGAATGAATTTGTTGCATAGTTCCTTAGGTGGTCACCAAATTGTTAGTTTGTAGAACAAGGTAAAATTGTGATAATCATCTGTGAATCATAGCTGTAAAGTAATAATGGTGGAGGCACAGATAGAACCCCGGACTACAAAGGAGCTCTTTGCCTTGTTAGTAACTAGCATATAAGGTAATATGTCAAATATCCTCTGCAACTGCCATAGAGTGGCCCTAAGTGGATCCTTTACCAAACACCCTTGAAGTCCCCATATTTATCTGCAGAAGTTCGTCTATTATCTCACCTTCTAGATTCATCAGTAGTGTGCCCCAGTAGCATTAGTCCTGTGATTTTTAATGCAGCCTCAAGTGATGGAGGTCAGCAACTCTTACATGTCTTACTAATCTCTCTCTCTCTCTCTCTCTCTCTCTTTTGGAGAGAAACATGCCTATGAACTATGGGAAGGAGTGCGTAGGCATAAGTTAGTTACCTGCTCGACATGATATGCTGAGTTAGACAAGGTAATATATAAGTATATTGGTAAGAAACCGAACTTTCATTGAAAAAGAATGAAATGAACGCAAGGGCATACAAAAAAAGTTCAACAAAAAGAGTGAGCTCAAAAGTAACAACAAAAAAAAAAAAAAAAAAAAAGGGCTCTAATCCAACAAAATCAAACCAAGATCATAGTTACTTGTGCTGTTATTTGAAGTCAGATTAGCAGTAATACTCTTCACTGGGTGCCTGATCTGATATCTACTTCCCCCAGATCCTTCCTACTATTCTCACTCTTGGGGTTCTAATCCCTTTCTGGGAGAACAGCTGCCAGTTTTACCTGTGTGGATAACTGGACTGCAAACTGCACCGCAGTGATTTGTGCAATTAGCATATCATATTTCTATGTTTGAAAAATTGTTCATGTAAATTANTACTTTTTTTTTTTTTTTTTTTTTTTTGCATAGTCTTCAAAAAAGGGAATGGCAGATATTGGTACATTTGATGGTATACTAATCGTTATGTAGGTTCAAATTAATCAGTGAATTTTGCCGAGGACAACTGCTTTACTCGTAATCTTAATCAGTGAATTTTAATTTGCCTTAACGCTCATATCGTAGTTGTTTGTTGCAGGCATTGGTCATAATGGAACTACTGAGATTCCAGTGATTTCTTGAGACGATGCTCATCATGCTCCACTAAGCAACAGGTTCAACACTATGCCTTAGATTTCTAGTTTTCATGGTATTTGATCTAATATAGACTCATGGAGCCATTACCACAGAAAAAAATGTTGGTACGGCTTAATCTTTGGTTGTTAGTTTAGTATTTTGTAGAAAAGAATGGTTATGGATTATTCCAACAATTCAGGAACCAAATAATTTAGCATGGATTGAATTATAATTCTTGACTGCCACAAAAATCATTATAATAGTGTTAAAGTTAGGGGAGAGGGAAATGCTGTAAAGGAATATGGGATTTCTCTTAATTCATTTTCCATTTTTGAACTTGTGTTCATCAATTTCAGCTTATGAGCTTCTAAAATTTCAATCTTTTAGCCTCTGAACTTATACTTTATACCCATTTTTCATTATGGTATGTAAGCTAATATCAGAATCTCAGTCCTAACGAAAATTTTGACACGATCTCTAACATATAAAGTTTGTAATTGCTTGGAAGTTGTTCTTAGAAGCCATTTTTTAAAGACAGTTTCAACCCAAACTATACTTCATTATTTTCAAACTACTATTATACCTAATTGAGAAAACATTGGCCGACTTTTAATCGTGGTTAATTAGCCCAATTGCTCTTAAGTTATTCGAGTGCTTTCAACTCGATGACAAGCTTCAAATTGCCTCAATTATGTTCAAAATTAAGCAGAGTTACCTGGAATTTTTTTTTTTTTTTTGAAGCCATATTGGGCCAACATTATTTTAAGGTAGGCCCAACATAACTTAACTCGATCTAATTTTAGCCCATTTCGGCCCATTGGGATTCTTTATTTATTTAATTTGGCAAATGCGTTGCTTCATTCTGGGAGAACGTAAATCAAATAACCAAGCTGTACCAATTAGAATCAGCCACGTCTGTATTTGAAATCATATATCGACCGTCGGATCAAGATGAATTTTTGTTTTTCGTGGATCGGTTCGTAGCTTTAGCAACCTCTTATTATTATATGGAGGGAAAGGGCTAAACCATCTGTTAGCGCCGTCCGGGAGTCTGCCCTTCTTCCGCCACCCTCTGTGTAATCCCCCATCTCCAAAACCCTAGCCCAAAGGTAATTCCATCCGTCCTCTTCGCCCTTCATCTCTCTATTTCTTCTTTAATCTCTTCTTCCGCTTGGTTCTTAGATTCTATTGTCGGGACCTTTTCAATCTTCACTCATAGTTGGGCTTGTAAGTTCAGACGAAGTTGTTATAGATTCGTTAATCCCAGTTCTCTACCTTCTAGCACGCTACGGTTTTCCTATCGTTTTTTATCGTCCTCTTCTCCTGCAAGATTTTGTTCTTGTTCTGCATTTAGGTCCCATTTCTTAACCGAAATTAAGTCAATAGTGTACGTTCGTTTTTACCTCATTCTTATATAATTAGGAATTCTAATGGAACTTAACGACATTTTGATTGCTGCATTTCGTTTTGGGTATATTTCTTTGATTAAAGGATGTGTGTCTGCTCAGGGCAGGGTCATTACTCAGCACTCTTAAAAAGATTTATGCTGTTTGAATCTCATTTTGGTTATTTTGTTGGTGCCTATCCTTCTTCGATTTTCATCTTTTAGTAACTGATAGTGATTGAAGAAAAAAAATTGTCTATAAAATATTAACTGGGTGTTTCTCCCGCTTTGGTGGCTATCTGATCGTGCTCGTAGCTCTTGGATTTTACTTATATTATATAAGTATTGTTTGAAATATTCAGTTCTTGTTATACCCGAACTCGCCCTTGTGCGTCTCTCTGACTTACTTATATTGGCCTAGTCTAATTCTGTTTTGATGTCATGCAGATGGATCAGGAGAGGCTTAGGAAGATTGCCAGTGCAGTTCGCACCGGTGGAAAGGGTACCGTGAGAAGGTAATTCTGTAATATTTTATTTTTCCCATTCCATTGTTCAGCACATAAGGTGATGTGGTTGAAGTTTGGATTTCTGACCTTCATTGTGAGGATAATGAACTGCCTGAAATTGTTAACCAACCTTTTATATATCATATGTACCTGGATTCTTTGCCTAAAAATTAAATGGATCATTATAACCATCCCAAATTTCAATTTTGCACTGTGGTAAGAATTTAAGCTCTCTTGAAGTTTAATATATTCATATTAATTTAAATTTATTTTTTTCAAATACAAATTAAAATTGAGGAAATTAATAGGAATCTCAGCTAATCCATAATTTATGCCACTGTTGAAACGTCTAGCTCGTTGTTTTGCTCTGACCTTATTTGTCTGACCTGATGATTTTTTAAACTGAAGTCTTTTTAAGACCTCCAGAAGGTGATGCAATAATTACAACATCTTGGTTAAATTATGGTAATTTGCACTTGATAAGTCTTTCCGTGTCATTCACATCCCACTGTCTTGTATTTGTCAAGAAAAAAAAAAAAAAAAAAAAGAGTATAATTTCAATTGTCGTAGTCTTTCTGTTATTTCTTCAATGAAATTACCTAAAGACGTGACCTTGTTATTCCATTGGTTGGTTTTTTATTTTCAAACAAATGCCCTTGATAATAGAAAGAAGAAGGCAGTTCATAAGACCACCACAACTGATGACAAAAGGCTCCAGAGCACCCTAAAGAGAATTGGGGTGAATGCCATTCCTGCCATTGAGGAGGTCAACATTTTCAAGGACGATGTGGTTATCCAATTCAACAACCCGAAGGGTAAATTTTATTTGTCAATTTATTTTACTTCCATCTTATTGCTTCACATTCTTGGATGACTCGTAACATTATTTTTTAACTTATTTCCTGTCCAGTTCAAGCATCTATTGCTGCAAACACCTGGGTTGTTAGTGGTTCTCCTCAAATAAAGAGTACGTATCTCTGCTAAACTATGCTGTAAATCTAATAACACAATTTTATTTTTTCCATTGCTTTAACATAAATTGACATACCGGACAAACCATTTGAGGCATTTTGTGGGGAATACTAGTACTTCTTCGAAAGAATGGTTTCTTGTTTTGGGCAATTGGATCAGGGCTACAGGAAAAGAATTTTCTTCGACCGTTGTCAGATCAATCAGTTTTAATTGCATTTGATTAGTTTTCATGGTATCTATTCCATTAAGGCTGCATCTTCTTACCAGCCTTCAAAGTATGATGTCTTACTCTTAAAAATCATTTGGTTTGTACAATAGATCTTGTTGTCTACTTGTGCTGACGTTAATTGTCTGTCATGCATTTGATGGTGCTCAATTTTTCTTGGTTGAAATGGTCCTCCGATTGTCTTTTTATCTAATAATTTGTGCGTTTCCCAACTACAGAATTGCAGGACATCTTGCCTGGTATCATCAATCAATTGGGTAATTTATCTCTCGAGTGTTGTTTTTTTTTTCTTCTTCTTATTGCTAGAGCTCCATCGGTTTGAACTTGTAAATAATGTTTCTGTTATGACTACTACCCTCAGGGCCAGATAATTTGGACAACTTGCGAAAATTAGCTGAGCAGTTCAAACAGCAAGTACCTGGAGCAGGTGTTGATGTTGATGCAAAGAATGTAGAAGAGGATGACGATGAGGTTCCAGATCTTGTTGATGGGGAGACTTTTGAAGCTCCCGCAGAAGAAAATCGTTGTTCTTAGAGAAATCCCTTTGGGAAAGGAGTGTTTTTGTGGCGTTTTATACTTGTTACTACTAGAATTGGTTGAGACAAGTTTTTATGAATTCGATCCATCATTCTTAAATTTTATCATAATATCTCTAAACCACCCGTTCTCTTTATGATGAGGAGGAACGTTACGTTAGTTTGTGTGTTTGTTCCATGTCTGCCGTACCTTTACATCTTCCAAGCATCCTTTGAATCCGAGAGTTGCGTAGCTAGCTTCTCCGCGGAGATTCTTGCAGGGCCATCATTGTGCTTGGATGTTTCTTCTCAAATCCTTATCTTAAAGTTGTATCCACCACCAATGGCGCGCTGATTCAGAAGGGGTCTGTTTGGGGGGAGATTTCATTTGATGTTATTTAACTGAAAAGAGTTGTGATAAAATATTCATATCTGTGTATTCAATTTAAAGAAATTAATTAAAACCAATGAAATTAATTAATAGAGGCGAGGTTGCGCGCGCTGCCGGTTGCTTCCCGGTCGCCCGTCTCCACGTTCTGTAATAAAAGCGAAGAAAGCCAAAAGCGAAGGATAGAACGCGGGAATGACGGCAACGCTGTGTCTCCTCTGCATCCCTCTCCGATTCCCACCTAACCGTACTTCCTTCTCTTCTACTTCCATTTCCCTTACCCCTATTCGTGCTCAGAACCAGGAGATTCGGGTTTGCACCAATCGCACTTGCCGACGTCAAGGTTCCTTTCAGACACTCGAAACTCTCAGCGCCCTCGCACCTCCCACTATTACCGTCAATCCCTCTGGTTGCTTGGGGAAGTGCGGCGCTGGCCCTAACGTCGCTGTTTTGCCCGATGGATTCGTCGTCGGCCATTGCGCCACGCCTGCTCGTGCTGCCGAGGTCATCATGCAATTGTCTGGTGGAGTTTCTGATTCTCTTGGCGTCTCTAAGAGTTTGGAGGCTCTTGCTCTGAGGAAGAGAGCCGAATGTGAGGTGGAGGACGGGAATTTCTCTCAGGCTGACCTACTTCTTTCGAAGGTCAACTGTTCCGCCTTTTGCTGTGTGATCTCGTTGATTAGTAATTTTCCACTCTTCGTTCTTGGAACTTTGTTCAGAATAATACATTGTGTATGATGCCTTGATTCAATTTGTTGCAGGCGATAGAATTAAAACCATGTGGAGGTATCCATATAATATTCAAGGACAGGTGTTCTACTTCTAGTTCCACGTTGTATCTTATTGTATACAAATCGTCGACTATATTTCCTTCCAATAGTAAATTTGGTAACAATCGTTGAGTTTACGATAATTGTTAGTACTCATTCAATTTTAAGTCCCGAAGTTCTTCCCAAATGCTCTATGCTGTCGATTTTATCCTGCGTCTCTCTAGCATTTGTTTACTTTTTTTTTTCTTTATCTATGTCTTTACTAAAGCAGCTGTATCCAAAAAATTTAGTTACACAGACTATTAAATTTTCAGGTCCATCGTAAGATTGGCTCTGGGGAATCATGCTGGTGCCCTTGAAGATGCAAATGAGGCTCTAAGAGTAGCTCCTCGATATCCCGAGGTGAGAAGTATTTTAGTTAATCTCCATGTGCATTACATTCCATCTAAAAAATTAACTAGGCCGTTACACTTCAACGACGAAGGGAGAAAATGTTTGAAACTGCCAATCTGGAGACCAGGTAGTAGTACCTCAAATTATTGACAAGATCTACGATAAATAGAGTTCCGATTTCTTCCACTTCAAATGTTCTTAAGCAGATTTGTATAGTGCCAAGCTCTAGGTGTCAAGAGCAAAAGAAAAACTTTGGACGTGAACATCATCTATAATTGTAAATTCGGGTATCAACTTTTTGTTGGGCTTGAGTCTTTGTGATGCATGAATCTTTATGTTAGGATTAAAAATGAATACCACTCGATTTTAGTTTAAAATTTGCCAGGACACACATGGATGGATGTAAAGAAAAGAACTATGTTTAAAATTCAAAAGAAGGATGATGCTAAACTGTAATTTAGAGGTCCTTCGAACCCTCACCCAACTAATAAACAAGCAACCCTTCGAAGATCATTACAAATTCTTGTTCTTTAACCGGTAAGATATGGGAAAAAAGGAGTCTAGCCCTGGAGTAAATTATCGTAATGTTCCCTAGACATGTTTCCTAATTTTCAATTTTCAGGCTTACATTTGTCAAGGTGACGTATTCTTATCTATGGACCATTTTGATTCGGCTGAGATGTCATATTCAACAGCTTTAGAAATTGAACCTTCAATTCGCCGTTCAAAGTCATTCAAGGTATTGATTCACTTATCTTAATATGAGGAGACTATGGGCAATTTCATTTCTAGGACAAAAGAGCAACCGCTTCAATCCATCAATTTTCAGGAATTTTGCCTTATTCTTCTTCTTCTTCTTTTTTTTCTAGTTTTTGTTTTGGAGGTAGCACTGGGAAACAAATGCAAAATGGTTTCCATTGAAATGTTGGTTGGAATTGGCTAGAAGAATTTTTATCGCTAATTTTTCTGTTTTTGAGGGAGAAATTCTTTATTTTTTTAAGTTAAAAAAAACATTTTCAAAATGTTGTTCTCGTTGATGACAAACCTATATTTCAGAACTACTTCAAACTTAATGACAAACCACTTGATTGAAGTGTTTGCCATCTAATTTTCTCACTTAACTCTTTCAAGCATACCCTTTTGAATATGTATTCTCGTCATTTTACAAAATATGATTGAATTCAGTTTTTGCCCAGTGCTGCTAGAATGCCCGTTCAATATTCATTTAATATTTGCACACCATTTCTTCAATAGGCGCGAGTTGCTAAACTTCAGGAGAAGCTCAATGCTGTGAGAACACAATAAAATCTGAGATGTGAATCAAGGAATAAGAATAATTGATGACAACAGTTCGAGATTCAGTCATTCCTTCAGGTTGTTTCCAGGTTTCAAATTTCTGACTCAGATTGTTGTTGAAATCTTAATTAGGTTAACTACATAGAAATTCGATGCAGTCTGGAGTTTCATGAAAATTTGATTGGGAATTCGTATAATTCTGCATGAGAATGCTTTTGATCCCAGGAAATATAAGCGGCCAAGTGCATTGGATTGTAGAGTAATTGTTCCCCAATGGGTTATTTTATAGTGTCCTCCTCGTTCCTACCCTGCCACTGTGGTCTTCGAGCTTAAAAAGAATTTGTCTAGAGATTAATAATTTTAAGACTTTTCAGGTTTGAGATAATTCCTAATCATTTTCATGTTGGAGGAAAAATCACGCAATTTCGCTATCTCACAGTCATTATTCTTAGGGCATGCACTCACATGGAGAAAGTGATTCCTAACATGAACAGGAAGAGGGAAATTTTGATTTGGGATTCTGAAGTTTGCTTATAAATAGGATTGCTACTGGGCATGAATTAGTATAGCAGCCAAAGGGTTCGAGTCCATGTTTATAGTGTTCAAAATTTTCAAATCAGAAACTTCTCTGCCAAACTTATTTTTCAAGTAAGCGAACACATTTCATTTCTTTGGATGCAGATTAAGCAAATAAATACACATTTTGGCCGCTCTCCCGAACTCTGCACTTGCTGATTTTTCTGCTTGGAATGTTTCTCTCTTGTGGCAATCTCAATGTAGGAAAACTTTATACATCTTCCATTACTTGCTTTCTCTATAATATCGTTCTTTCAACCGATGGAGTAGGTTTTGAAAGTGATTGATCAGGCTTTTGCCATTGAAATCGTCCCTTGAGTTACAGTAAATAGGAACCTCTGGGATTGGGCATTTTCCAAATGTCTTTCCAGGACTAAGAGCCTAAGAGCCTATTTGACATGACTTCTTTCTAAGTATTAAATGCCAATCTTTTTTAAGTACTTGGAAACCAAACAGGTCCTAAGCTGGGATAGTCTTTTATCTCTATACTATACTGTCTAAAGTTAGTTCATAGGGTATTTAATATTGTGTGCTTGCTATTCAGCATTTAATGTCTAGTTTTGTTGATTACAATAATTGGCATGTTTCTTAATGCACAAGTGAACTTTATTATAAACAAACGCCCGAGCTTTAAAGTGTAAGAAGGGTGTAATAATTGGCTTGGTTCAAAGTGTGAACTGAAAAGTTTGATACTTTGTCCAATTCTGCATAATTGGCTTGGTTTTATCGTGCATTATGAAACTGTGAATTGAATATGTCTGGCAGGATGCCACCATTGTTGTCATAGACTCAGGTTCCTCTAATTACATTTCAACTAAAAACAGATCAAAGTTGGTGTTAGAAGGTGAGTGAACTTCCAACTATTTCATCATAATGCTTTCTCCTTTTTTTTTTCTTCTTTTTTTGGAGAGAATTTCATACAGCTTTTTAATACTAGGGTTCATTGTCCATCCAATGTCACCGATGCGATGCTAATAAAGATACCTTCACCAAGTTATTTATACGGGACTGGCAATCTTAATACTGCTATAACTAAGTAAATAGATCAAAAGGAATTATTTAGGATTGGTGCTGTGACCGCATAAAAACATGTCCATGCTCTTCACCTTTGCCCACCATCTGTAAGTCTTCCTCCGGCTGTTACTTCTTTTGTCACTTAAACTGTTGTTGTTGACACCAGAATCCCTCCTGGATTTAAGTTTTCCAATTTGAAAGCATGCCTCCAAGGTTACTTCCTTCCCATTGTGGTCTTTGTGCTTACTGCTGCATCTACTCTCTTCCATTGCTTTATCTGTCTTCACAAGCTGATCATAGTACTCTTTATTCCTTTTCTCCAGCCCATAGATCTGAGCCTGAAGGCCTTCAATTTTCTGGTTAAGCAGGTAAACCCTTTGATCATCCCGCAGCTTCAGCATACATCGTGCCATCTCACTTGCCTTCCGTTTCGTGAAAACGGACTCTGCTACCAACCCCTTGTTTTCCTCCATCAAGGAAGCCACCCTATACCCTAATCTTGCATTTTCATTCAGTAATATGAGCCTCTCAGACTCCAAGACCTCAAGCAAACTCTTCTGAAGCTCTGTCTTCCTAGACGAATCACAGCATTGCTTCTCCAGGATGCTTACCTCATTTGTAATAATGTCGTACTCCACATTCTTGATGACAAGCTCAGCGAGTAAAGCATCGTTGTTTACCATAGCACTATTTTTAACGGGTATTACAGACACTTGCTGGTAGGACAGGGAGCTCTCCGCATCAGACTCCATCTGACTGATCCCTGAATCTTCGGCGCCATCAAAAGATTCTAGGGTTGAAGTAACAGAAGACTGTCTTTTGTGATGTTTGGCGATGGTTTGGATGTAGCGATCGGATAAGGTGGTGTAAGCAGTGTACAGTTCCTGGAGAAGCGCTAGCAGTTGAGGGCGTTTGTTGAAGTAATATTCTGCACGTTCAGCAAATGTGTTCCCAACATCGTCCTCTTCAGCATTTTTCATAGCAAGTAAATTGATCCTCTGCTCCATATCTGTCATAGCACATCATGTATCAATCAAGACGACTTGAAAGCCAAAGAAATAAGAAAATAAGTACTCTCTGAAAATGCGATAAACCAAATGATGAATAACCATATGAGCTAACTGACTACACATTAGATTTGTTGGACACCTTTTAAAATAGAATTTACTAGCTGAAACTTTATATGGCTAATTCATAAGTTTCTAAACATAATTAGAAGTTCAAATCTCATATTATTTTATCTAGAAAAAAGTTCTAATAATCTCAATTCTGATTTAATATTCCAAAATCTATTGATGTGACGTTTCATCTCTCAGAAACGAACAAATGATATTGGCTATAATTTTATTAAAAGATATTGGGCCAGCTTGGTTCAGTTTTCTTTGGAATTGCAATTTTCTTTTAAAGATAAAGAATGCTGGGTAGCTATTGGGAATATAAGGGATAGAGGACAAATGTTCACGAGGATAGCAACAGATTATAACTCAAAATTTTGAATTCCTGTCAAATCGTGGGGCAGAAGGTATGGTTCCCTGCCCTAGATGGTTCTTTTGGCATAACTTTGTTATCCAGGAAAACGACCCATTCCATCAATACAACCTCTATCAGAAGATTACCATCATTTAAAATTATATTAAACTATTTTGAATGGAACTTAACCTCTCAAATCAAATTCTTATAAAATTGAAACTATTCACAATAATTTGAATTCCTAAACGAACAAAATGGCAAAATTCCCCAAATGAAAAAGGAAATGCCTATTGATTCACAAAGTTCAAAGTCGTCACGGGTTTGCATCAATCAGGCAAATGATAAGATGCTCTCTTTACAGGAAAGTTGTTGAGGACTGCACATTGGTAGGGATGAAAGAACAGAAAGGTCGCTGTTCCGAATTCCAAGAAAGGTTCATATACACACTCCTCCTCCCTCCCACACGAAAGGTAACTTGGTTTGGTGTGAATTATGGAGAATTCCCTTCTCACAGTTTCGGAGTTTCAAATTTTAAAATAAAGTGGGAACAAAATACCATGGGGACGGAAATTCAAAATCAAACCTGGGCCAACTTCAGACTATCAGACTATTCTTACTTCAAACCACCTACCCTTCCTACTGCAATAAATTCTCAACGTGGATACGTAATCAGTCAGTCGGTAAGGTCTTTTCCTTAGGCTAAAGCTTAACTCCCACCCCCACCTCCCTGGTCCCTAGTATTATGGCAAGAGAACAAGAAAGAAATTGAAAATAAGGTAAAGGGGTGTGTTTTAACTTTCAAGTCAACAGTTACTGTTACCTGCGAGAGTGGAAGACAACGTTGAAGAAGACTTGGCGCCGAGTATTACACTGTTTCTGTTGCCGCTGAGAATATCACACGATGGAGATGAAGGCCTTCGATGGGTCCAAACCTCTTCTTCCTCCGGGGACATCATTGATATCTCAAACGTTAGCCCGTTTGGCTGCACAATTCAACCTCCGGTTCCTCTCAAGTGCCTCTCCTCGCTCAAAGTGCATCAACCACAGAACACACTAACAGCTGACAACACGGTTTGTGTTAACCAACCGACAAAAATATGTGCAAAACCACTACTTCAGAATAACTAAACATAAAAGGAACAAAATTTTCCAGGAATCAGGCAACATTAATTAAAAAATAAGGGCAAAGATAAGCAGCACATGATTCTATCACTACAAGGCACAAGCACACATTTTATTTTGAGTGCAAACACTTCAAAACCATTACAATACATGTGCCATCATTATCAATAATTTAAAACATTTATTGTTTGGTGCGAAAAACAATTTATAACTATCTTTAAAGTCTTTCATGGAAATTATTTTGCAATTGCAAATTAACTATTTCGATAAATTGTTGGACAAACAAAGATCATTTATGTTGTGATTTTATTGAGTGTCAGGAGTAATGATAGTCAGTTTCCAGTTAAAAAGGCATGACCCATAAGGTCATTGGGGTAGGCGAGCACAAAATCCAACGCCATAAAAGAAGCAGACCGTACAAAAACCAACCTGCGCTTAGAATAGAAAAATAATAAACAGTGCAGTATGGGGAACCAAATTGAAATTCTTAAAAAAGTTGGCGAAGATCTCGAAAAATTTCAGCGGAAAGATAAACAAGTGTAAATCAAATCACAAAGTCTCTCAATATTCATGGTACTGTGGAGACCGTATTACTCAAATCCCCAGGTTAGTATACAATAATGCTTCCTCGATTCGTTTGCTGCGATCTTTTCCTTTAGGCACTGGATCACCCCAAACAAATCTGAAAGCATTTTATGCTACACTACACGGAGAGCTAAAACATGGAAAATACTTCCCGACGAATTAGTACCTGCTGCGATTCAATTAAATGTTGAGATAAAAGATGAGAGCAGCTGAGCTTAAGATTGCAAGGTAGGGAGGAAAACGGAAGGAAAGAAAAGGGAGAAAGAAAGATCAGGGAGAGATGATTGACGAACAACGATTCCAGGAACCGGATTTCAGGAACCGGATTTCAGGAACCGCAGTCCTCGTTTTCAGCTAGTAATTGAAGAACATCGAACGCTAGTGCACTAAACTACAAAGAACTTGTATAAACTTGAAATTATCATGCCTGGAATAAAAAAACCGAACAAAATGAAAACCGTCTACAGCTTAAGGCAACGCTGATATTCATCTTCTAAGCAACCAAGCAGGATTTTCACATCAGTGGACAGTAGACAGAAAAAGAGTATAACAGAGAAACAAATGCAGAAAGAGTAGTAGGTGATCCAGAAGAAATCAAGTAGTGTGGTAAAGAAGAAACCGTGAAAATTACCTAAAATGGCAGAGCCTCCGAATCAGTCAAAGGAAATCCGAGATAGAGCCATTCCGGTGAGAGGTGGAGGGAGAGGATTGTGATCGAAAGAGCTGAGAGGATAAATGTATGTTTAAAATTTGAAGAGATAACGCATTTAACGAGGAAAGGAAATGAACCGAAAATAGAAAGCGAGGGAGAGGGAGAAGGAAAGGGGGAGAGAGAGGGAGGAACACTTCAGAGTTCATATAATAATAATAATAATAATAATAAATAATAATAATAATAACAGTAATAATAATAAAAAGGGAGTTCCTTTCTAACTTGACATTTTCCAATAACGTATGCGTTTTAAATGTTTGAATTTAATTTTGAAGACATGCCTTTATATTCTTTTTTAAGGTATAAATTTGATTACTTTAAACTTTATGTTATAATTATTCTTTCCCATGTGGTGCTACTATAAATTATTTATAATTAAAAAATAAGTCATGTGCTATATTTTAATTTAATATATGTAAATTAATTTACTTTATTTTATTAGCATCTATGTTTTTTTCGAGAACAACAAATAAAGTACGAAATTTTAAGGCGAGATATTATACGTTACTTTTTATGCCCTTGACCATAAACAAATAACTTTCAAAACAAAATTTAAAATTCTTGTTCAACTAAAATAGGAGAGTTCAGGTATTCTTTGTAACTAGTTCTCATGTCCACCAGAGTGCAGTTGGAGAGGAGAACAAAACATTATTTATAAGGGTGTAGAAACCTCCTCCTAACAGACGCGTTTTAAAAACCTTGAGAAACTCGAAAAAGAAAGGCCAAAGAGGACAATATTTATAGTGGTGAGCTTGAATGGTTACAAATGATATTAGAGCCAGACACTGGATGATATACCAGCGAGGAGGTTGAACCCCGAAGGGGGTGGACACGAGGCAGTGTGCCAACAAAGACGCTGAGCCTCAAAATGGGGTGGATTGAGGGCTCCCACATCGATTGAAGAAAGAAATTAGTGTCAACGAAAATATTGGACCCCAAAAAGGGTGGATTGTGAGATCGCACATCAACTAGAGAGGGGAATGAATCATTTTTATAAGAGTGCGAAGATCTCTCAACAGAAACCAAGGAAATTCAATTACTACAGCAATATACAGATAGGTAGAAACCAGCCCTACTCCCACTGTAAATCCATTGAAATAGCAAATGAACTGAATGGTACAACAAAACCTTCATTTCGAGATTAAATTCAGTGAATTAGTGCTTCATCATTGATTTATAAGGCTAAAGCCGAAAACTAATCAATTACCATTAGTCAGCCAAATCAGTTCCTCCATAGCGACAACCAACTTGTTCCCCTTCTAATAGCCTCTCTACCACATCCGAAGTCAACCCAACCATCTCCATTGTTTTCTCCCAGACTTGGTAAGAAGTCTCGACGTTGTGTGCCTCTTCTGAAGGATTTGTTGGACGGCACTCTTGGGAAAGAAATGCACAAACAGGCCACTGATCTGCTTTAAGTAGTTCACAGTACTCTGGAACTTGAGGATCCGTGGCTGCAAAGAGAGTGCTTCTGGAACCTGCAATTGCCGAAGAATAATGATGCATGTTTCATTTCAAATATCAAGAAGCATAGAGAAAGACGGGAAAGAAAATATAAAGCATGCATCCGGGCTCAGCCAAGACATATTTGAAATTGATCAACTTCAAACCATCTTCGTAGGATTTTCATTAATGCTGCTAAATAATAGCATACTCTTACATTTTTCATCAAGATTAAAACTAAAATTTGTTATCTGATGTTACTACTTTCTTTCATTTTAGGATAAGTTGAAGTTAAGAACAAAGAACAAAAAAATTATGAAAATGGTCTCTATGTGGCTCATAGGCAGCAAAG